AGCATCTCCATGTCTTTTTGCTACCCCCAGACCCCTCCCTGCTGGCTGCAGGGCTGCCAGAGCCCCCCCAGACAGCCCTGGGGCTGCCTCCTGGCATGGCTGATGTGGAAATGCTTCCTCAAGGTGGTGGATGTGCTGTGGAAAACCTCAGCCTCAGCTATATCCCTAAATCCAAAATGTGGGGGATAGAGGGGCTGGGGATGAAAAAGGAGTGCAGTACACCAGCTTGTGGGGTGTAGGGATAGGTTTCTCATTCTTGGATGCAAGAGATCCTGAGTTCAACTCCTGGATAAGCACTCCTTTGGATACGACTCATCCTTTAGATACAATCCCTCCTTTTGAGGACATCCCCTCCTTTGGATAAAGCCCTGGCTTTGGAGATAGCCCTTCCTTTTGGGACAACCCCTCCTTAGGGGACTCCACCCCTGCTGCTCTCCGATGACAGTACGGGAGGACCAGCCCCCGCATCTCCAAGCTGCCCGCGAACAGCATCCCTGCCCGTGAACAGCATCCCGTGGGGTGGTCATTCAGTGGATGGAATTTTTTTTTCATGGTGGGACACAACCCCTGCAGTGTCACTGAGCACATGTCCTCTCAAAAGCTGCAATGGGAAGGGGATGTAGCTCAGTGGGAGAGCGCTTGCTTCGCATGTAAGAGGCCCTGGGTTCAATCCCCAGCATCTCCAGTTTAGGTTTTTATGTTTTGGTTTTCGGTGGTTTTTCTCCCCCTCCAGTCCCAACCCTGTTCCTCCAGGCGGCAGCGACGATAAACTCCACTTTTACATCGGGAAAAAGCTTTTCCGAAGGGGATCCCTCCTCACCACGGCAGCGCTGCCCGCCCGTGGCCGCGACGGCAAGTACGGCCCCACCCATGCTCTGCCCCCACCCCACTGCCCCCACAGCCCTCTTTACCCCCCCGGGACGGGACCGGCCGGCCCTGTGCCACCCGTGCGCCCTGTGCCAGGCAGCGTCGCCCCATCTGTGCCCCGAACCCAGTGCTGGGAGCCAAAAAGAGAAGTGCTCGTCCGGGATCTGAACCCGGGATCTCTCGCACCCT